AACAAGTGCCTTACTAGTAGTAACAAGTGCCTTACTAGTAGTAACAATGTTCGCTATTAGAAACAATAAGAAGCTATTATTGAAGACAGGAGACTGACGGACGGACGACAGGGACGAGGAAGGAGACGGAAAGAGACAGGCAGGACGGACAGTCTTCTTGTCCTTCCCTCTGTCATCTGTCGTGCGCCTAACTTGTCCAAAGATGATCTGGTGCTTCTTTGCCTTGCTCCCTTGCTATCAAAAGTAAGCTACCACTGGCTGAAAAAACAAAAACTCCTGCCTGCCATTAGAGGCAACCGGCTAGGCCGAGACATCTTGCTAACCACCTTGGTGCAGATCAATGCAAAAAGCAAGTTGAGCTAAGGAAGTCGCAAGAGTCACACGAGTACAAGACTTCCACAAATCTTGGAAGTCACAACAGCGCCTCAAGTACCTTCCTTGTGCATTCAATGACAATGCTGTGAAGGGAGTTTCAAGAAATCATACAACTAAGGATTCGCACAGCCATGACGGATTCTCCGCGCCGAGGAAGCAAAAGCAAGCGGGAAGCTAAGGAAAGTCTTCTATTGAGCCGCAAAGGTCGGGCACAATGAGGTCGTTCTCTTAATAGCTTTGTTTGTGTCTGAACCCTTCGGGTCTCTTCTGAACATTGATTGTTCAGTTCGTATCCCGTCCAAACCTTGACGGGTGTTCTGAAGAACCGTCATCAACTGTTCAACCAAGTGCGCACCTGGCAAAAGGCTGGTAGGCTACCCCTATGAAACTTCTTTGGAGCATTTCCTGCCAACTGCCGAGCTGCGTCAGTCGACCCAGTGATGCCTCGCCGTTCCTTCTCGGTTTCATGCACTTGAAGCCGACCAAAAAGTCCTGGTTTGACGCAGCATCTCATGGGTTCCGCCTAGTTTTCCTAGTTTATCTAGTCTAGTGGCTGGCTTTCGCTTGTTCAGTTAAAGAAAAGGGTTCGCCAAACTCGGCAAAATTAATATGGCCAACATCGCCAAACTCTGGGAAGGTTCATGTACTACATGCAGTGTAGCATTTGCTAATTCTTCGCTAACTTGTAGCCTTTGTGGCCAATGATGCAGCACGATGTGCTGGTTAAGGTGTGTGGACAGGCTGCTTGGTCTATGTCTGTGCTGAGGAGCTTGGGGGGGTGTTGGCACATTGGATCTCATGCCAAAGGCAGTGGAGCAAGGATGACACAATGGCACAGTATGTTGAGTGGGTGACACATGAACTCAGTGAGGCCTTGTGCGCAAGAGGTGCCATGTTCACATTCCCAAGGAATTCACAAACATCAACAAAAGCAAATGTGACAGGTTTTGCACCTACTACTCCACATCCCACTCCTCTAGGGATGCTTGGGCCAGCAACGGTTGCCCACCGGTGGCGGCTTCAAAGGCTGCCTGCAAATCTCGCCACGATGGCAAGCACCCGCCAATGTTCGTCAGTTAGCTGCAAAGCTTTTGGGAACGTTGTGCGACTTCTGGAAACCTGGATCTTGTCCGCAGTCCGCCCTCACCACGCCCCAGCTAAATGAATGTGCCATGGATGTGTGTGATCCAGAATGTGCCCACACCTGCAAGAAGACGGAGGTGGGATCAGACATGTTTTTCATTTTGGAGGCAGGTTCAAGCCGTTCGCTGGACCCCACCCTGCCTTGATCTGCCTCTCGAGAAGCTGCCAGTAGTATCTTCGTGATTTGTTGTTCACCTCACGAAACTTTTCTTCAGAAAAGGAGAGAAGTGACGATGGCCAAACGAAACGAACACACAGCGGGGTGTTTGGGCTTCGTATTTTGACGCCAAACATCTGGCAAAAGGATCATCAAAATCCAACCATAAAAAATGTGCAAATATTATATACATATATATATGTGTGTATGTGTGTATGTGTGTATGTATGTATGTATGTATGTATGTATGTATGTATGTATGTATGTACTTTTTTTTTCTCCTGAAGTTGGATGCATGAAGGCTCAGTGGCCGGTTCAGCTTGGCACGGATGGCCTCAGATACCTTGCCGTGGCTCAGAAGAAGTCGACTTGGATCTCAGGGTCACAGGTGCGTTCTGCTTCTTCTTCGGCTTCTTCATTGCTGCACATCTCTGCATCTTCAGGTGGCGGAGATGCTGAGAATTTGAGCTTCTTGGGCACCGGTGGAGACAGAGTCTCCGGACCCTGTGGTG